AAGAAGACTATTGAAATCTATGCATTTGAACCGCAACCAACAACATATGAAATACTGACACAAGTAAAAACATGGATGAATGCATCATTTCTGTACACATATCAACTTGCGTTAGGTAATCAAAGTGGAATTGGTGCTTTACGAAAATGTCCTCCAGGAGCCGAAGTATGTGGTTTAGAAACGAAAGCTAATCCAAACTCTGAAAATTATGTTGCAACAAAAGTTACTACTTTAGATAAATTTGTAGAAGAGCAAAATATTACTGAAAAAATTGATTTATTAAAACTTGATACTAAAGGTTTTGATCCATTAGTTATTCAAGGTGCAGAAAATATTCTTAATCGACATCAAGTAAGACTATTTATATTTGAATATAATGGTATTGAAGCTTGGGTAACAACTACTCTTTATCAAATGGTATTCGATCTCGATCGCAAGAATTATGTATGTTATCAAATAGGGCAATCAGGTATATTGCGTTTAACTGGTTGTTGGTCATCGGTTTTCGAAATCAAATATTGGAGTAATGTTCTCTGTGTATCAAGACGCGAACCTAGATTAATATCATTTATTGAAAAACTACTTATCCCATTTTAGACACATCTTGTTCTTTTTTTGTAATACACTCGATAATTATTGTTTTGAAATCGTATCAATTAAACGATGAATTAGTTTTGACAGGTTTCAAAAGTTTTTCTAAAAACAAATTGATACATTTTTTTCATATATTTTTTTTTCGTGCTATCTGTTGAAAGGTACAAAACTACTAATTAATTTACTCAAGCATTTCTGTTCGAATCATTGATTAATATCTTTTGAGTATAGTCAAAGAATTGCGTCATATTTCACACATGTGTTGTTGTCAATCAAGATTCTTCTTCATGTACTTACAAGTGATGCATGAATTTCATTCGAAAGAAGAATGAAACAATGTTAATTTCATATCATCAACAACAAAGAAACACATGTGCTGGTCATCAATATTCTTACTAAGTTTTCTTTCAATTCAAAAGATTCATCGAGGTCAAAGATTCTTGTTTTGATTTTTGTTTTCATCGTAATAAATTAATTTTTATTTGTAAATAGGATGTGGTGAATATTTACAAACAATTATCGTTCAACCAAAATCTGTAGAAGTTCCAGTTGGTGATACAGTTATTCTTGATTGTACCGTATTTAATCAATATGGTGAAGTCGCTTGGTGAGTATAAACATTTTTAAACATTCGTATAAATATATTTAAACAATAGGTGTAAAGATGGTCATTGCACAATGGGTCGAGAGCGACCATTATATTTCATTCCTCGATACGAAGTTATTGGTGATAGACAAGCTGGTATGAAAATAAAGCAATTTTTTTTCTAATCATAGCATATTATATAATATTTTTTAGGTATAAATAGTTTAAAAATTCAAAATGTTAATCTTGATGATGATGATGGTATATATCAATGTCAAATTGGTCGAACTGTTGAAGCTCGTGAAGTTCTTTCAAATTTTGCTAATTTAACTATTCTTATTCCACCAGATCAAATTTCTCTAACATATGTAGCACCTGGTATTGCTGTTAGTGGAAAAGAATTTAAATTAAAATGTGAAGTACTTAATACACGACCAGCACCAATATTTACTTGGCAAGTACCACCGAATACACAAATTGTAGATAAATTACAAGAAAACGAGTCCATAACAAAAAATAGTAAATTACTTAAATCAACATCAATTGTAACACTTATTGCTGATATTAATCAACATGGACAAGAAATAACATGTGAAGCAATACATTTTGCATTAAATAAATCATTGATATCAACAGCAATACTTGCTATTGATTGTAAATTTTATTTTAATTCGATAGTTAAATTATAAAATTTGATTTTTTTCTTTGTTCTCTTGTATTTAGATTCACCTGTTGTTAAAATAATTTTAAAACCAACAAAAATGTATGAAAATAAAGATTATTGGTTTGAATGTATGGCTGAAGCTCGACCATCAATTACTGAACTTGTGTATGTATGATAATAAGTCAGATTGATGAAAAATAAAGCCAAAAATTTTCGAATTTAACTTTGTACAGGTGGAAAACAAACGATACAATTCTTCAACGAATGTCACCTATGTTCGATGGTAGATATCCTTTGCATATAACTGTTACACGTCAAATGCATAATCAATATCTATCATGTTCAGCAATAAATAGTGCTGGAGTATCAGAAGATATAGTCATTCTTAATATTAATTGTATGTTATTTACATTCTTTTGTTTTTTTTGTTTTTATATTAAAAAAACCTTTGTTTTGCTTTTTTTTGCAATAGACGCACCTAAATTTAAAGCCTTTCCTTTACCATATACACTTGTTCGTCTAGGTGATCCATTAATACTTTCATGTGAGGTTGATTCAAATCCAACAGCAAATATATTATGGACTAAAAATGGAGAATTTGTTGGTGGTGGAAGTCAATATCAAGTTCCTGAAATACATGAAGATGATTATGCTCTTTATGCATGTATAGTAACAGTTGGAGGACAATTTACTAAAATTGTTGCATCGACTAAAGTTGTTTCACCTGGTATACGTATAGTTTATTTTATTTCTTCACTTTCTTTTTTTTATTCTATAGGACCACCACGTTTTTATCCTCCACAACCAGTTTTTGCTTCCAAAGGTTCAGAAGTTATGCTTAAATGTCAATTAGAAAAAGATATTGAACCAAATGTATGTTGCATTAGTATAATTCATATTAAAAATCAATATTTCAATTTAGAATACATTTTGGATATTTAAAAATCTAACACTTATGAATAATATGAAATATACAATAATACCAGCACGTGATGTTAAAACAATACCTCGTTATGAAATGGGTTTAATTATACATGATGTACAAACAAATGATTTCGGCGAATATGAATGTCATGTTACAAATCAATATGGAAGTGAATATGCTACTCTTTATCTTGAAAAACGAAGTATATGATTTTTTTTAAAATTCTAATTAAAATTTGATATAATATATTTTTCTTTTGATTAGGTAGTCATCTTATAATGCAAATTGCTATTTATTTTGGTTTACTTGTTTTACTTAGTTTAATTTTATTTTCTTCATATTTATGTTGTCATCATGCTTGTCGAGTAGATCAAAGTATTTTATAAATAACATTTGTTTTTTTTTCTTTTAATGGATTTCTATTGTTGACTACTAATAGAACGTACAACAATGCGTCGAATGCGAAAAGTTCAAACTTGGTTAAAAAGTAAACCAAGTATGTGGATTCATAATTTAGCAGCAGCAGAAAAGGTTATTGGTTTTTTTTTTTTTTTTTGTTAATTATTTTTTGTTGACTTGAATCTTTGTCTTTTTATTTCTTCTTTTATAGATTCCATTAACTGTCTATGATGTAAACTCAGGTGTAACTCGAACAACACTTGATCCACCAGTTGATATTGTTGAATGTTATGTGTCGATGATGGATGAACAGAAACGTCATGATTTCAATCGACCTTTATTACCACCTCCACCACCGCCGCTGTCGACTTTAATGGGTCGAATGCCTTTTTGTAATGATGATCAATCAGAACAAATCTATGAAACAGCTGAGCCAATTTCATGGCATATTGATGTTTAAAATTTCCTTTTTCTTTATATACTAGAATTAATATTGTACAAATGGTTTTTTTTCTTTCGTTTTTTTTTTTTTGTTTTTAAACAACATATAATTATATGAATACATATACACTCAATCCATGTTTTCATTTTTTGTTGTAAAATAACAAATAAGAATAAAAACTAATTATGAATCGGAAGATGCGCGCATATTAAAGATTTAATGTGCACGCACAAGAATACACACAATTACAAACAATAACCAGATAAAAGAAAATTTCTTATACTATTGAAAAAGGAGAAGATATTAGCTGATAATTTATTGTAGACCAAAATCCGACCGACACCTCTTTCATATATATATAAACACATTGTATTCTTTTTTTCTATCAATATCAATATATTCTGTGTCTGTCACTCTCTTTCACTTGCTTCACACACTTAACAACATTCAAAGAAGAGAAAGAGTAATTTGAACAAAGAATCAGAACAAGCAAAAAAGAAGAAAAAAAGAAAAGAAAAATGAGAAACAACAGTAAAAATAAAATAGCTGCTGCAACAGCTGCTCGCAAACGTACATGAAACAAACGGAAAACAAAAAAAAAAAAAAAGAAGAAAAAGAAGAACGTTGTTTATACGTATTATATATGTAGATTATATTTGTATGTCAGTAGTAATGAAACAGATAAATTAGAATTTTTCTTTTTATAATCAATAGCCTAATGGCTAACCAACAACATTTAACAGTGCAAACAACAACAGATAAATAAAAAAAAAACCGAGCCCATACGCATACATTCAAATAGATAGGGATGAAAAGAAGAATAGATATAAAAAAAAAAAAAGAAAACATTTTTTTTTTGTTGTTTTGAAATTATTTCACTGTTATTTTTTTATGCCGGGAGAAAACGGAGAAGAAGAAGGAGAAGAAGCAGAAAAGGCATTATCAACTGATATTGATGAACCATTATTATATTTTGAATATATAAAATTAGCAAATATGGCTATAAATATTGCTAATAATGTAAAACCAACAAATATAACAATAGCCCATTGTTGATCAGTTAATGTTCGACTTTCAAATAATTGTATAGATTTTAATTTACGATTTAATAATAAACGATATCGATTTATTAATGAAAGTTTTTGTTCTAAATGATAATCATCATTTATTGAATGATTATTTGATGTTTTTGATACAGATAAAGCTGCAGCTAAATCTTCTGGTCGAGGTAAAACAAAATGTGTTGCAGGACTAAATGGACTATTTAATGTTAAACCTTCACTTGTCGAACGTATAGCACAAACACGTACACGATAATCAACACCAGCTTGTAAATTCGTTGCACGATATGCTGTTGATTCACCATGATAAATTTCTGTATAATCATTTTCTTTTCGATAAATTTGTAATTGAAGAATATAACTTATTGGATCTTTACCAAGTGGTTTATGAGCTTGCCAATTAAATATACATGATGTTGAAGTTATTTCATTGATATTAGGAGCTTAAAAAAAAACAAAGATATTAGCGCTACTTCTGCAGGATTAAAATGTGAAACACAATGGGATACATTTGTTCACCATTCTTTTACTTAATCCTTGGGGAATACTATAAGGAAATATTTCATTTATTATAATAAGACATGATTGATATACGGTCTGTAATTAACGTCTGTCGCGGTCTATAGGAGATCGAAATGTTTACCTCTATACGGAAAAATTCCTTTTATACTGTGTTTTACAAAATTCAAAGAAGAAATTTTTAAAATTACAAACCTTTTAATGCATTTGGTGGTGCTTTAGTTGTTATAAACGTATAAATTTCTGACCATGGTCCAGCACCTGAATCATTTTTTGCACATATACGAAAATTATATTGAGTGTTTTCTTGTAATTTATTTATTTTATGTGAATACGTAGTACCGGTATAAATACAATTAAAACTATGCAAAAAAAAAAAACAATATTCATTTTATATTTAATAATTCTTTTTTGTTCTACTTACTTTCCATCTTTTCCTTCCATTTCAATAATATACGATATTGAACGAGGAGTTATTGTTGATGATTCTGATGTTGATGATAGAGCATGATTAACTGTTCCATTACCCCATTTTAATTTTATTGAATTACATGTTACAGCAATACATTCAAGTCTTGGAGGATCTGGTGGTAAACTTTTTGTTTGACATTTAACTATTGATGAATATGGACCAGGTCCTATAGTATTTATAGCTCGTATACGAATTCTAAAAACAAACAATTTTCGATAAGATAAAATCTAACAAAACAGGAAAAAAAAATAACCTGTAAGTTGTATCAGGTAATACTTCTTCGATAGTATATTCATTAAATTCAGGATTAACAAAAATAAGTTCTTTTTCACCAATATCAATATAATAACCAGTTATAGATGATCCATTATTTGCTGGTTCTTTCCATGTTATTGTCATTGATGTAGATTTTGCATGTACTTTTACAGAAGTAACAATTGATGGAGGAGCTGCTGGTGTAACACATGATGCTAACATACTATATGGACCAGGACCAGCTGAATTAACTGCCTAGAAAAACGAAAACATAATTCATATGTTGAATAAAAAGAATTTTTTTTGGCGAAAAATTTTTTATCGTTACCTGTACTCGAAAAAAATAATGTGTAACCGGAGTCAGACCTTTAGCTTCATATGTGCAATTTGTTCCACAATAAAGTTGCATAAATGAATCACTTTCTTTTCGTGACCATTCAAGACGATATTCAGTTATAGCTGCACCATTATTAACACCTTCTTCCCAACGAATTAAAGCACTATTAGGGTTATGACATTCAACAACAAAATTTCGTGGTGCTTCAGGTACACCTGGACCAGATAGAACATCAAGATATTCTGACCATGGACCAGCCTTTAAAAAAGAAATAATAGGAAAAAAAATTCTTTTTCTTTCAAAGAAAACCTACTCCTGCTCGATTAAATGCTCGAACTTGAAATAGATAAGGTCGACCAGGTAATAAACCACCAACAGTACAATCAAGATCACGTCCACGATAAACAATACGTGATGAACTATCAGGATTTGTTACTTGAACTTCAAAATCAATTATAGATGAACCACCATCATAATCCGGATATGCTAAACCATGAATAATTATATAAATCTTTTGTAGGATAAGCTTTTTTTTTGTTATGTATACTCGAACTGAGAAAATATTCTAACTTTTCTTCTATCCTACGTGGTAGGACAGGGTAACTTGGCACATATCTACTTCATATGAATAACCTTCGTTCGAGTTTATACTTTGCTGATTGTTAGAGAGATATGTACTATTAGCGCTTTGTTCGTGAGTTTTGATCATTTTATTGAGTTTTCAGTTAATTGCATAATATTATGAGGAAAACTGAATAACGAAATTTTATTCGAAAGTTGGTCTCGTGATCCTTATAATATTCTAAATTCTTAAGGTATTATAGAAAAAAAAACCAGGTGTGTTCGAATCTATTGGATGAAAGTAGTGGCTTTGTATCTGTGTTATCTTAAGACAGAAGCATGAGTTTTTATTGAAACATTCGAGATATTATAAGGGTCACAAGATCTATTTGCAGGTAAAATTTCAGAAAAATCCATGCAAAATAGTCTCAATGATATTAATTATTACATTGCTCTTTCTTCTGCATATCAGACAGTACATCAGTAAAATGATCATAAGTCAAGAAGAAAACACTAATAACACATATCCTTTTATAATGATTATAAATTCTAACAATCTGTAAAATATGAGTTTCTTAAGAAGAAAAAATTAGCTTCTTTAGATTCTGTTTTTTTTTTTTTATAGAAAAAGAAATTTAATAATTCAAAAAAATAAATAAAGTGCTCTACCCCAACGAAGATGTAATGAATTTGCTTTTGGTTTTCCAGAAATCTTCGGTGGATGACAAGTAGCTGGTGCAACAGCTGGTGTTCGTATTTGTGTGATATCTGATGGATCACTCTGACCACCAATACTTGAACATGATAAACGAAGAGAATATGAATGTCCAGGTATAAGTTGTTCAAGTAAATATTCTGTATCCAAACCATTATAAATAACATGAAAACCTATGAGATAAAGAAAAAATATTTATTAGAAAATGTTAGTTCTTTTGTTTTTTTTTTCAAATATCAAAACATGACGAAACGAAGAACAATTTAGTATTTTTCTACCTACCATCTTCAGCTAATACGAAAAAGAAATAAAAAGTAAAATAATTGAAGTTTAAATTTAGTAGAAAAAAAAAATATTCTTTTCGTTTTTCTTTTCTATTGTCTTTACCTTTCGATTCTTCTAATTCAAGATGATATTGTTGAATTTCGGCACCGCCATTATCTCTTGGTGGATCTTAAAAATTATTTTATTACACATACAAAAAACAATAATTAACATTTTTTTTTTTTTTGTATTTCATTACCCCAAACAATACGACATTGTGTTGCTTGTATATGTCCTTTTATTCTTGGTTTAGCTGGTGCATCAGGTCGATCAGGTAATGTTCTATATGTTGCTATTGGAGAATAATTACTTTGACCTTCTTGATTATGTGCCGCTAGCTATATTAAAATAAAAGGAAAATTATTCTCTCTAATAAACAAAATTTTAATTACTCGAAATTTATATTCAGTATTTCGATATAAATCAGTAATTGTATAAGTACATAATGAACCTGTATATTTATTTCGAAAATAATTTGATTCATCATTCATTTGTAATGTAAATGTTTCATCAATTGGTCGTTTTATCCATGATAATGTTAAATATTTAACACCTTTCTCACATAACATTGGTGGATCAGGTTCAGGTGGAATTGTACCTAATGTACTAAATTGAATTGTGTCACTAAATTCACTAAAAACAAAAACAAAACACATAAGAATGAAATTGGATTTGTTTGTTTATTACCTTCGTCCAATACTGTTCTCAGCAGCCAAACGAAAAGCATAAAATGTTGCCGGAATTAATTTATTTAACATAAATTGTTTTTTTATACCACGATAGATTTCAACAAATTCTCGACCTTTACCCTGAAAGAAACAAAACCAAAAAAATAATAATAACTAGATATTAATTAAAATTGACAATAGTCGCCAAAAGTTGCACTTAGAAATGTAAGCCGACTTGCCGAGTTTTATTGCAATACGAAAATTAATTTTTTATTTTTTAAAATTTTCAACATCCCAAAATTAGATTTTGAAGATGTTATCGCCTAGTTCCTTGACATAAGTTCTCTTTCATCATTTTCTCTCTTTTTCATTTCAAAAAGTTCATTGAAAAATGATTGTCAGATAAAAAGTACCCGGATTTGCATTGTTTCGCTTGACATTTTAATACAAACAGAGCTTGATCACAAACACCAATGCAAGGTCGATCGGTCTTAATGCATAGGATTTAGAATAATAATACTGATTTTATTTTCTGATGACATCAAAAAAAAAGAGCTTTTTGGATATATTTCTAATTTGCCAACATTAATATTCATTCTTTTATTGACAATTAAAACATCACATGTCTTTACTATGTCACAAATAGGAGACTCTAATTTTCTGTGATTCTAAAGTCTAGCGACATTTTTTTGATCTGAGAGGTTGTCGCATTAACCTCCACTCCATTAATGTCTATAATCATGAAATAATTAGTGAATACGATATTAGAACAGAGCACCCACTCAGAGAAAATTTGATGGAAAATAGTCGGAATTACAAGTTATTTTTCTTTTTTTTGACAAATCTCATCGAGTTTCATACTAAAAATATCCAAAAATAACTTCATATATCAAGCAATTCACATGAAATTTTTATTGTAGGTTGAAGCAGCACTGAACTCTTCAATCAAGGATTACATATTATGAGATTTGTTATTACTGCTAAAATATCTTCGTTTGTATAGAGAGTTTCTGTCGGCTCTTCTGGCTCATGCGCATGCGTGTCAATTATTGTTCATCGTGTTCCTATTTGCACCCAAAATATGAGAACAAAGAATTCACGTTTAAGATCCTTTATATCTGATAGCGAAACTTTTGACGACTAAAAAAGAATAAGAACACGAATACAAACTTCATCATATTCAAGAATATAATTTAAGATTTTTGATCCATTATCATTTGTAGCTGTCCATTTTAATGTTAAAGAATTTTTCAGTCGACTACCAAGTAATTTTGGTGGTAGAGGTCTATCAGGTTCACATTGTTCAGTAGTAAATGGAACTGGATTTGTATATTCACCTTTACATGTATCAATACATGCACATACTCTGAAATTTAAAATTAAATATATACAAAAAAAAAACAAGAAATTTATTTGAAAATTTACTTTAGATGATATTCAGTGGCTGGTTTCAGATCTTTCAAAGTTATTTCATTGGCATCACCACTAAAAAGAATTTATTTTAAATTAGAATATAACTAATCATTGTCGAAAATCATCATCTTTTCCTAACGAAAAAGCCATTCATAACTTGAAAATCTCTTTTAATTGTGCATAAAATAGAGTCCAATTAGATGATAAAAGAATTCAAAAGAATAAGTACCCCTAGGCCTTTCTTACAGAATTATTCGAGTTTGATTGAAATTTTGTCCATTGATTGACCTAGTTGTCATTAGAATGCCCTGAAAATTTCAGGTCAAAATATCCTGATCTAATTCTTTTGCATATACCGTGATACAGGTTAGAGTTTCAATGAAACCGCTATAAATTTGTGAGGAAAGCCGCGGGGACCTTATTATATTTTAAAGCTTCATTGAAACTCACCTTATACACAAAGTCCCGATGTTAAAAGCAATTATTTTCAAATTGGAAAGATTTCCTTGTAAAACAATTTTTATTAGTTCAGTTTATGTTAATAATTTTTCTTTTTTTAATAAAAAACACGAACACAATGACATTATCATATGTATATTAGCCATATGTTTTAGATTAGAATGAGAATTTTTCGTATTTTGCAATTAGTTATATGTCCTATTTATCTTCATAGGAAATACAAACGATAAATATGTTCTTTATGTTTTTGGAAAGACTTATCTTCTTGAATAAATGTCATTTTTTTTCTTCTACTTATAGATTCCGTGATGTATTAGAACAAAAAATTGTATTAAACATACCAATAAACTTGTTTATACTTGGCATCTTTGCCTTTATCTGACAATAATAATTCGTAAATAAGATTAGTAAAATCAATCGAATAATCCGTTGGAGAAGACGTTAAATTTGGAGGTTGTATTCTTACTAATGCACTTCGACTTTCAATATCTTGAATCTTAAATAAAAATTTAAAATATTTATATTGTTTTGAAAATCTCCAAATAAAATATTCTTGTTTTCTTACAATTGGTGGAGATAATTTCGATAAACATTTTTCAATTGTTTGTCGTTCTTTATCATATTCTGCAACAGCAGCTAAATCAACAGGCTCAGTTGTTGATTGAACAACCATTTCGGAATAAAATGGTGAATAATGTGTTGGTAATGATGGATGATGATGGTGATGATGATGATGATGTTGTTGTTGTTGTTGTTGTTGTTGTTGTTGTTGTTGAGATTTATCAGAACCATCTAAATTATTTAAGGTTTTTTCTTTAAAACACAAAAATAAAATATAATTCAAAAGCAATAAAAACTAGCATTCAAGTTAACTTACTCATGCTAACATTATTTACATATGAATTTGTATTTGCATGAGATGGTGGTATACGTCGTTTTTGTCCACTAACATTTAACGGTCGTGTATGAGATGTTCCGCCTGTTGTTGTACAACTATTCGTATTCGTATTATATACAGGTGAACGACGTTGTTGATTATTTGTTGAATTAGGTGTTGTTGTTGTTATTATAGATGTATTACCACCTCCTGCTGTCGACGTTGGTGAACTATTATTTTCAGATGGATGTAATAGACATTGTGAAGCTGAAAAATAAAACAACTATGATAATTAGAAGCAAAAAACATCTATTATTTCATACGATTTGTAGGTGATGATGTATGATTACAAGCAGAACGTTGAGGATATGTTAATGTATCTCCTGTATATGGTCCATATACATTTGGATTATGATATTGATGTGGATGGCCATAAAGTCCATTGTATGGTGATGGAGAATAACCGGTATGCTTGAAAACAAAACAAAAAATGATAAAGAAAGAATTTCAATAAATTTTCATCTTACCACATGATGATGAGGTGGGGGTGGAGGTGGCGGCGGTGCTGGTTGTGACATAATAACATGTGTCACTACACCATTCTCGTCAAGAACTTGTTGAACCATATGCCCAGGTGGTAAATGTAAAGGTAATGGAAAAGCTGGTCCGTTCTCTGAGATCATTCTCACTGTTGCAGGACCTAAATAAGAAAATAATAACAAATTAATGTCATACAAATTATATTTGTATCAAATGATGCACATTTTTGCATTTTGTTTCGTCTATATGATGAACGAATCAAATGTTGCCAATATTATCTTTAATATAAAATGCCTGACCGACCTGCTGTATCTTTGTCACCATAGATGTGACACATGCCTGTCAGAATTTTACAACGAACAGAAATACAGACAGTGAGAGAGAGAGAGAGAGAAAGAAATAGGAAAGAATGACATAAATTGTCCGATTTCTCCCTCTCTCTCTCTCGTTTTTTATTCAAGGTACAGAACACGACCAAAAGGTCGTCGATATTATATTTATACACATCTATTGAAAGATAAGTGAAGAAAGAAAAAGAGAAAATACCAGCTGTTTGTCGTAACTAGTCAGATAGAAGACGAACGAAGAGCAAGAAAGATGAAACTATTATAACGATCTCGGAACAATTATATATCGAAGATAATCTTTATCTAGGCACTGTTGTTCTTCAATAGATCCATTAGTAATAGTACGATGAGTCGTCGCACATTCTTTTTTTTTTTCTTTTCTTTTCTTTTCTTCTTATTCTTGTTCTATGTAAAAGAAAATACTTGTTGATATTTCTACATCTCTTGTGGTCAAATCATCGACGGCAGCCACGCGCAATCCACATCAATCATAATCACGCCTTTCTCCTTCATTCGCTTTCCTCTTCAGAGGCTACAACGAACACAATATTATGATGATGAATCACATACACATACATCCATATGCATATACATGTAAGAGAACGAGAAAGAACGACTAGTAGAATAATTGAACTTTCTCTGTTCGATTTAGAGAACAAAAAAGAAAAAGAAAAAAAAAACAACAACTATGAAGAAGAGAAAACTCCTTTTTTTCCTCACTTTCATATGTCGACATTAAGATGAGACAATTTTAAAGAATGTGAAAAGAAATTACATCTAATCAAAAGTGCAAAAGGTCATTTGAAAACCTACTCGACTGCTGTGGTTGCTGCCCTGATGATTGAGCAGCAAGCCATAGATGTAATTGATCATGACTGGACGTTGTTGACGATGATGAGGATGAATGTATTTCATTACTACCATTCAAATTACTATTATTATTATTATTATTGTTATTATTGTTATTATTATTATTATTATTCGGATTAAAACGAAAACGATGATGATCAAAAAGATACTGTTGTTGTTGTTGTTGTTGTTGAAAATATGGATGAGATACATTCTGTGGTGAAGGTGTTGCAGTAACAAGTAAACGTTGATGTTTTAGTGAATCGGGTGAAGAAGTATTTGATGAACAAGATGATGTTGTCGGATAGAATCCATTTGTTGGAAAACATCCCGTATCATACATAATTTGTGAAATAATATTTTAAGGACAAAAAACAAAAAAGACAAAATATAATAGAAGGTAAATGTTTAATATCGATTATGATGATTATTATTATTGTTGTTGTTTTTTTGTTGACAATCAACCAATGACAATGACTATCTTTTGACAGGATGATATTCTCTGCACGCATGCGTCTCGGCCATAGGTCGTAGTTGTCCAATGTGCAATGTTGCAGTATGGATGTATGTATGTATTCTAGCTCGTCGTTCTTTTTTTCTTTTTCCTCTTCTATTCCTCTCCTTTCGCTGTCCATACAATTAGAATAACTGTAGAACGAGCGACAACGAACACACATATATATATATATATATATATACGTGCACAACAAAAAAAAATAACGGAACACTCATTGCTGCCACTACCCTGTTCGCTCGTGCTCGTTCGCCTCCAGTAGCATACTTTTTTTTTCTTGTTCTTTTCTCTCAAACTTCCCATTTATTTAGTGGCGTGCGGCGCATGAAAATAAACACAAACGAACGTACAATAGTTGAACTACTACCAACTAATGGTGATGTTTGTTTTCGCAAAAGGTTCTTCTCTATACTAGAACAACATAGAAGAGAGAAAGAAATAGAACATGAACAATGCGTACACATACAATTATTCATACGACTGACTATCAGATATACGTATATATATATATGTGTGTGTGTGTATATATATAAAGATTTGTCCTTATCAATGGTGAAAAACTCCTACATTGATGAAGAATGAGAGAGAGAGAGAGGAAAAGAGACAAGAATCTATTGCAAAGACTTTATCTATTACTAATTGTAAAAAAAGACCTTGTCATTTGTCACTTTAGATACGCCTAACATCTTAATCTTCAGGCACTAACTACACATGAATAATAAATAGAAAATGATAGCTTAAAAGCAATAAATATACTTCATTGATCAATGAATAAGAAATATGTATTGAGTAGTATTTGACATCATATATTTCGAATTGTATTTTATATATTAATGATGGATTTAATTAAATATGACATATAAATTATGCGATAAGGTATGAATAAAAATTTCTCGTCTAACAAAAAATAAAGTTTTTTTTTTTAAAGACTTCTTTCTTTTTTTTCTCTTACGAAAAAAAATTATTATGTTTTCTATGTTATGTTTGATTAAATAAATAACATAATAAAATAATAACAGTATTAATATCCGGATCAATAATGTGTTTTCTTTTTTATTGAATTAATACAAAACAAAAATTTACTTACCATGTACTTCTTTGACTTCATTATCAACTTGAACACGAAAAATTTGTCCAGGCTTAACAAGTATTCGAGCAATAGATGAACGTGGTGTTCCTAATGGTAAATCGGCTGATGTTGCTTCTGTAAACGAAGCTTCTGCATTAATCATATTTGTTGATTGTGTCTTATTTGTTTCTGATATTTCATCAATTGTATTATCAGTTGTAATATCAGTTTGTTCTGATTCAGAATTTGTTACTGGTTCTTCATTTTTTTCTTCTGAGATGACAACATCAGATGATACTATTGATGATGATGGAATTATATTGTTATCATGATCATCAACATGATTCGACTGTTCGGATGAATCGAATGTAGAAGTCATTTTTAAATATTTTGTCAATAAATAACGATAAAAATTTACGAGAATAAAGTAAAATAACGTCGTCGACGACGATGATGATTATGAAAAACCATCCAAATCATCTAAAATATGCATAGATAAAGAATAATTTGTAATTTTGATGTAAAAAAAAAAAAGAGAAAAGCAAGCAGACATTATTGTGTTGAACTTTCTTCGTCATCATCATCTTCATCTTTTTTTCTTGTGTTTCCATTTTTTTCTCTTCTCTTCTTTTCTTTTTTTTCTCTTGTTCTTCTGAATGATGAGAACATATAGACATACAAAAAAAACTCATGCATGTTGTTCTGGCGAATGACAACATCAACTAATCAAAAGCGAAAAAAGAAAAGAACCTTTAGCGATGACAATCAACCATGGGCAACTAGTCAACATTAAAGAGGTTTTACGATAAATGATGGAGTGTTGTAGGCGGAACGTGACTTCAATATTTTTTTTTCTATTATTTCTTCAATACTTTTGCGTTCTCTCACTCTCTGATTCTCTTTTGCTTTTTAAAGTACATCGTCAGTTCGGATAAGATCTTTCAAATTGTCATATGTTCGATCAAAACTAAATATGCTATTGAAACGGTCTCATCAGCGTTTTACTATCTTGCTTTTTTGTGTATCTCTGTGTCAATATTTTTATTGAGATTCTCTTCCAATCATGGTTTTGCATTGTCTCTTTCGCTCTTTCTCTGTATTCTTGCTTTTATTCATCATTACTCCCTTTCTCTTAAAAAACACATAAAAACGATCACGATAAAGAGAAAAAAAAAGAATACAAAATGCCTAAAAAGAAAAGAGGAAAAAGAAGACTAAGAAAAGATATAGAATAAGTGAAGGAACAACTCTCACTGAACATAGCTACTACTCGACTCAGATTTCCTTCCTATATGAAGTTACTATTTGTTATTCTTATCGTTCGCAATATGTTTCTGTTATTTAACTACACGAAACATGTAAACAAATAGATGTTGAAGTTGTATATTAGTATTAGAACCAGAAAAAAAAAACATATGGTCTTTGGACACTTACTATCATCTCATATAACACTAACAATAAAATAATTTTCACCGTTGCAAAATTCTGAATTTTTCATTCTTGTTTTACATATCAATAAATTTGTATTCGGTATCGATTCTATTACATGTAAAAAAGTATAGACAAAAAAATGAATGTAAAGAAACAAAAGTACCAACAATAAAAAATATCAACAAGTAGTTCCTGATTTTCGTCCACGTCTTGTTTTCTGTTTTTCTTTTTCTTTTCTTGAAAACTATAATAACTAACAGATGATTACCAGTCTTGTGTCTAAACATAGTATTAATCTAACTAACATATGATCAATGGTTTTTGTCTGTTAACTAATAAAAAAAACGAAGAAAAATAGAAAATCAAAAGATACACGTCAGTTGAAATAGCAGACACACACATATATTCAAATTAGGTTAGACGATCCAATTACTTCCTGTTCTCTTTTTTTTTTTATCTATGATAATAAAAAAAAAGAACAGATAGAAAGAAAAAGGACTTCGTGCCTATATTAATGTCTATTAATGCGTCACATTGGCTAACACATCGATAGACTTACATTCAATCTATACCGAAAAAATGAGATAAATATGAAAAATAGTCTACCACAGAATAGAAGCATGTCACGTAGGTGTTGGCTCCTGTCGTTTGCGTTCTCGCTAGAAGATTGTTAGGTTGTTCAGGAAACGAGAATGGGAGAGGACGCGCATCTCTCTTTTGTATATTGCCGAACCGGCAAAGAAGAGTTATTGTTTGTTAGTAGGAAAAGCGATGACGCGAAAAAGAGAGAAAGAAAAGAATATATATATATGAAAAAAAAACTTGCATGCCGTTCTGTTTTCTGTTCTACTAACTAGTTCGCAGTCGAAAGACCTTAATGTTGCACCATACAATGTGAATGCAAAGACTTGATAATCATAATAGAAGACGGAATGAAAAAAAAAAACGGAGAAGAAAAAGCCATTCAATAGAAGAGAGTGGGCGGATAGACGACGGTTGAAAGGAATGAAAATGGAAAATAGACGATAGAGAAACATTTCTATTAATAATATAGTCATGAAATTATTTAAGCATTAAAAATAAAAGAAATTCTTTTTTTTTGTAATAAATTATTTATTCGATTTATTCATATTTTTATTTTACTAGTAGAATAATATTTTCAATTTAATTTGAAATGTAAAATTATTTTAATTTTAACACTTAAATAATTTTTGTTTTTCAATGATTATATTTATTACTAAATTTTCTGGGCATTTTTGATATTATAATAGACATAAACATTGAGACTTGTCCTAAAGGAATACGAAATAACTATGTTAACTTACAAATTTCTTTCCGTCGATAAATTTAATCATTTTTTTCAATTTTAATACTAGATAATTGAAATCTATAACTATCACTTACGAAACTCTATTTCCAAAAGTAGAATACCTTCTTTATTAATAAATATTTTTTTCTTAATAAATAGTTTTTACCTGTAAGAAAATAAAAAGATTTGTTGATTTTACGTTGCCTATTTATTTGCTAATAGATTAAAAAAGATTACTTCTCTTTGAAAGTCATTGTTCTTATTAGAGAAAGCAATAATTTATTGCATGACAAGAAGTAAATAATTAATAAATAAAAAGGAAATAGTCGAAAAGAATTTGACCTTGAAATCTAAATATAAAACTGATATATAAATAAGAACCAATTTATTTATTTTTTTCTTATTTTTTATTTTTATTTTTTCGCTTTATTTACTATTCATTGGCCATTTTAAGTTTGCCATTCAGACAAAATAAAGGTGTCGCCAAAGGTTGTACAGGATTATCAAGTCAAACTCATTAATTTACTAAAAATAATACGCGATATATGAGTAGAATTTATATTGAAATATCAGTATGTTAATCAACTATGTTTCTTCGTCTATTCTGTTCTTTTAGATAGATAATGGATACTATCTATATATATCTTTATCTTTTCTTCCTACACTTTTAGGTACAAACTAGTAAATCTTATTTTTGTACGAATCTTAATCTGATATATGCCAGTAAATGTTTTTTGATTATTTGCCCTTATATTTGCTTTCATTAGATTTTTTTCTATAGAAGTTCAGTGAAACACAAGTTGTACTTAGAAAATCAGGAAATTTTTTTCTTTTTCTTTTTTATCCTTCATTAAACCTCTGACGTTGGTAGTCCTGAAGGAACATATTACTAGCATACAATGAGACCACGTTAATAATATAGAGAAAAATAAAAATAAAAATTGAGTTGTCGATCAAGAGAGAATTAGAAGTCCATTTCCCTAAATACCAACAGCTATAAAAAAAATTCACCAAAGCACAGTAACTCTTTTGCATCTAACGATACGATTGAGTTTGCTATACTATATCATGTCATTCATCTTACAATCAATGTCAATGTATCCAAAATGTAGAACAAATCGTTTTGATCTATGTAGGCATTGAATTCATAAATTACTTTGTTTACATGATGTCGTTTCAGTCTATAGTAGCAACTATATCTCTAATAGACGCTCATCAAATGTCTTAGTCAAAGTTTTACAGTAATTTTTTCAATCGATATAGCATAAGTCGACCGAATATTAACCATAAACATATGCAAAGAATAAATATCATACTAATAAATGTAACGACATATTCATTTAAAGCATGTACAATAAAAATGATTGAAGTCAGGTCATTGACAAGTGATTAATCGTAGATATAAGAGCGAATAATCACATAATAGCAAAAGTTACTTCCAATGTCAAAAAAATAGTTTGTGTTGTAAAGATTTCATTGAAATTTCAACAAATCGGATCGAATTAACTAAAACGGTGCCTTATAACGTTTGCATATCCTAACTTGCTTAATAGTCAGTAACTCAGGTGTTTAAACAATGAAATCCAACATGATTGTTTGGCGTTCACATTGAAATATTGAATTGAACAGAAAACATTACGTTGGACTTTAAGTATTTGATTGATTAAACTATTAGTATTAAATAAATTTCAAATAGTTTCAACACATGATACCTAATCTATATTCTAAGTATAAGCATTGATTATTGAATAGAATTTCATTTTTTTGAGTAACAACAATTATTAAATCGAATAGGTGTCAAAAGGTCGAAAGTCAAAAGGTCGAAAGTTAAAATATCGAAGAGGCAAAACATCGAAAAGGCAAAATATCGAAATGAAAAACGTCGAATGGCATAATGTCGAAGGAAAAACGTCGAAAACTAAATGTCGAAAAGGCAAAATATCGAAAGTCAAAAAGTCGAAGAGAAAAATATCGAAAGTACAAAATGTCGAAAATTTTCTAATCTGTACCAAAGAAAAAAAAATAAGGGTGTGGGTGTGGGTGTGGGTGTAGGTATGGGTGTGGATGATGATACTCTTCTCACCCATACCCCACGCCACACACCCACACCCACACCCACACCCACCCATACCCACACCCACACCCACACCCCACCCTTAAATTCTTTATTGTATGTGCACTTTTACTTTTTTTCTTGTGTATTTGAATTAAAATATAACATTTTTTTTTCATCTATTTTGCTTCTTCTTGTGTTCGAAAACTGTACAAAAATCTATATCTTCTTCTATTTGACAGACGTAAAATAATAGACAATGCAGTGTTAGAAAATTTCCCGGTACTCTCATTCATATTCAATATTTTCGATATTTTGCTTTTCGACATTTTCTTTTCGACATTTTTGCATTTCGACATTTTGTACGTTCGACATTTTTTTTTCGACATTTTTGGATTTTCGACGTTTTACCCTTTCGACATTTTGACTCTTCGATGTTTTTTCTTCGACGTTTTTTCTTCGATATTTTGCCTTTCGACATTTTGACTTTCGGTCTTTTGACACTTTACCATTAAATCATCTGTGAAGAAAAATGACATGACGATAGGTTAAAATTCAGTTATATCACTATCAGACACGAGGCAGAAAGTTTGTTTTAATGTTTGAATTTTGCGACTTGTCCATGTTATGTCGAAAATTATTTAGATCTTATGAGTTTGTGTTTCGATAAATTAGAAAATTTCTGTAGTAGTATTAGCTGATTATTTAAAAGCATTTCGTATAAATAATTTATACATGAAAATAGCAATTGATCAATTTTCAACGTTCACAAATTTGATAATGTCAATAAAAATAGATCTTTTTGATTAAATGATTTGATAAGTTCTGATATTAATTATCATGATGTGTTTATGACTTTCCTACATGTTTATTTTCGATATTTACAATCTTATGAGTGCATTATTTGATAAGGTCATATAGTATTTGTCCCTTCCTTTTTAATTTTCAATGTTTTTCTCATATCATTAAGAGCAGAAGAAAAGCACTGAGATTTTTTATCACTATCTACATGTTCTAACGATTTATACTAAAGTCATGACTTTCAATGAGTCATTATTTGAAGGTGTTTCCTCCTTAAATATAAATTGAAAAAATTGTCATGCGTAACGAAAGTATTATATGAAAATTATAATCATTAGATTGTGTGTAAGAAAAGATAATTTGCTAAGAGATTTTATCAGTAGCTTAATAAAAGTTTTTCTTTTATTTTTGAATCAAATTTCTTCATATTTCTTATGAAATACAATCTTATTATACCAAAAGTTTTGTTGATAGTATAAGAAATATAATCTTGCAATCATGCACAACAGAATAAATCAAATCATATCAAATTTTGAAAAACAGAAGAATGATCTACACACATCTTATGTCAAAGCAGAATATAATACGAGTACTACTCATTATTTGTTTTTTTTCTCTTCACAAGTATACTTACTACTCAACAAGCGTATAGTTAGAAAATCAAAAATTGATAGATATGTTTAATTGCAATTAAGAAGGTTTTCATATTTAATGTAATAAATATTTTTTATTTGTTCAATATATAACCAATGAAGTTTTCTATCTGATCTATACTAAGATTTCATAGATGAATTATGATGGCAAAATTTCTAAAAAATTGAACACAGTAATTTTCAGATCATATAAGACTATTTTGTTTAACAATGCCATTTCAAAGAGAACAAAATGAAGGGTTGTCGCATTTTCTATGAGCTTCCCTTTATTAAGTTAAAGGATTACAAAAAACGAAAAGGGGCGTTTTTTAGTCAATTTCTGATAAATTTCCTTTCTTTATGATACTCTAAACTATTTAAAAGAAGACTCGTAGAAAATGTGGTGATCATTCATTTTATTCTCTTGAAAATGGCATTGTTAAAGAAAATAATCTTCTAAGGCCTGACATTTACCATGTCCAGTTTTTGAAAAAACTTTTTCATCATAGTTCAACTATGAAATCTTGGTATAGAATGTATTATATAGAAAACTTCATTAGCTATTAAAATTCATATCTAGACTTGAGCTAATTGCTTGACATTATAGAAAAAAAAACCAAAAGCGTGTTATTGCTAAGCTTTTTTTCCGACATCTTATGTTACCAAACGAAATCATGTTTTACATATTAAACTAAATATATTTTTTACTTTTACTCAGTATCTTCAAGATTTCTTTTTCTTAAGCTCATATCAAATGAGTACATTATTTTTTTCTTGTCTTATCCGATATGAAAAAATAACTTGTTTGAATAACAAAAGAGTAAAGTTTCATGATCTCTTGTTCCTTTTTGGAATAAATTCATATTAATTGAAAATGAATATTGACTATAATGAATGCCTGTTAGAAAATCTTTTCAAGGAACTTCGGAGTTATAAAAAGAAAATAAATTACATCATTATTCTTTTTATTCACTATAGTAACAGGAAAAAGAAAGGCACATGAAAAAACTATTTTATTTGTTGTCATTTTTATTATTTTATTCACGTCGTATGATAACATCAAAGAAGAAAAACAAGGTAAAGATGATATACCTTCTTTTCTTCTAACCCTTCAATGTAAGCGATGAATATTGCTGACTTCTGCACTTTTCCTTTTTTTAGCTTGTTTATGACACAGAACTTTATATTTTAGTGTGTTAGAGAGTAAAAAGTAAATCACTTGTATATGCCTGATGAAAAAGCTGATCGTGCAAGTAGAGAACGATAATATAAGTGGGTATACTTTCTTTCTCGTCTATTGGCTTTTTTTTCTCCAATTGTCTAGGCAACGTCACCTTCATCATTCACTCTCGCGAAATGGAAGTAACGTTAAATAATCGACGTTATTTAGAAGTTTTCTTGTCATAGTAGAAATTATATGAACGAGAGAATAGTAAAATGTGTCGACAAAGTGCCATTTCATTTTAGTTTTCTTCATTATTTTAGATAGAATTTATTTGATTAAAATAAAACAAACGACATGGCATCTGGTGGTAGTGGTGGTTTAAAAGAAGCTTTTGATAAATATTCTAAATTTGGTAAAACAGAATCACAACTTAAAGAAAAAGATATTCGAATTGAATCAAAAAATATTCAAAAAATGATGAAAGATGCTGGTATTGTTGATACAAAATATCCATCACAATTACTTGATAATGATATTGCTCGTGTTCTTGGTAAACTTACTAGTTCTGGAACTTATGCAAAGGGCATGTAAGTTCAATTATCAATAAACTAGTTTCTTTTTTTTTCTTTAGTTTTTATTCATAATCTATCTTGCTATATATAAATATATTGTTCTAGTAAAACATTTGAATTACAAGGTTTTAAACAACTTATTGATCAAATAGCTGAATCAAAAAAAACATCAGCTGATGAAATTCTTTCACATATTAGTTCAACAAGTGGTCCAAGTTTAGCTAATGTTACGGTAAAATGTTGCATATATGAAAATATCTATTTAATTTATTTGTATTTTAAATTAATTAGGGTACGGCAAATAAGAATGTAACTGAACGCATGACAGATACAAGTCATTATACAGGTTCGCATAAAGAACGTTTTGATGCTGGAGGTCATGGGAAAGGAAAAGAAGGCCGTGTTGATGAAGCTAAAACTTCAGGTTACGTTGGTAATTATAAAGGCGAAGGAACATATGATAAAAAGCATTAAATTTAATAATTTAAATCAGGACATTAAAAACTGAACTTCTATTGGTTTTTTTTTCTTCTCTTTGTTTTTTAAGTGTATAAATATTTGTTTTGTGTTTGTCTTTTCATTTAATTTCTGAATTATAATTTTCAACTTAAATATATTAACCTTCAACACTATATTAAGTCTTATAAGTCCATATTAAAAAGAAATTATATTTTCTAACAAAAAACAAAAAAAAAAGGTTAAGGTATGATAAAAATAGCGTTGATTTTCTTTATTTATTGTCCATCAAACTAGCAAAGAGACTGCCGTCATGCCCGCTCTTTTTTTTTTCTACGCGTATGTGCATGTATGAAAAGAAAAAAAAGTCGACGAAGAGAAAAGGAAAAAAAAAAAAGAAAAAAACCCACGACAAAATTAATTGCATCATATATATATATGTATCGTAATAGTATTTTTCATTATAAAAATATTCGCACACAAAACACCAGCTTTTTTCCTTTTTGATTACATTTATTTACAATTATTTGATTTGAAAATAATATTTTACTATCATCTCTTTGAAGCAACATTAAACAAGTATACTTGTTCTGTTCTTTCTTCATTATTACTTGATCGCATCGGGTAAGTTATTTTGCCGATAGAAGCTTTCCTTTTTTTTTTTGTATCATAATGACGTCATGTATATTGTCAAGAAAAATAGGTTTTCTCTTTATTCTATATGTTATTTATGTTTCAGAAGATCAGATATTATATTTTATAGTTTGACTTTTATAGACATATACATGTTATGATGAAATGAGTGTGTAAAATATTATATGGAGTCCTACCCATAAAATACAGTTGACAGTAGTAAGAATGATTTTTTCAGCCCGAGAAAACTTATTGAAAATAAATCGAAAAGAATAATATTGATTTTATAATGTGATACTTTAACAATTTATAAAATTATTCGAATATTTTACCGGTGATTAATAGAATTTTTATCGTTCCACCTCCGCATACACTTTCTCTTAACCTATCAGCATTTTGTATTGGTTGCGTAGGCGGTGTGTAAATGAGTTCTTTTCGTTCTGTTATTTGTCTGTCGGATATATTCTTTTTTATTGTATTTAACAAATAATTTTTTGTCTCTTAGGCAAACTTTTGTCGATTTTTTTTTCGGACGATGTAACTTCTTTTTCATTTCGTTTTTAGTCTTTCTAAAAGCTGATGAATTCAAACATTGATAACAATATTATGTCATCAATGAAAACATTTGGTTCTCCATTCGACAGTATTGATTCTATAGTTAATTTTTTACGAGAACCTTCGCCACCCGAAGTAGTTTTATCATCAACTACTTCATCAACAATAGATTCTACTAAAGTAAATCGTGAATTAAAGTCAACAAAAGGACGAAAAAAGGAAAAAAGACAAGCGAATGTCATGAATGCTACACAAATAAATTCAAAGGAACCGATAGAAATATTGCCTTCAGGTCGTGTCAGGTAGATTATTATCTTTCATAAATTTATTCTTAAATGTATAATGTTTATTAGATACGGTCCAATAACTGTTAATCCTCGTAAACAACCATCAAAAACATTATTTACAGGTCGTCGTTCGAAATACGAAGTATTATCGAATGATGAAGAAGAAAGGCGTCGTGTAAGACGTGAACGTAACCGTCTTGCAGCAACGAAATGTCGTGAAAAACGTGAAAATGTTTTAGGTAATCTTGAAATTGAATATCATAAAGAAGAAAATAAATATATAAATATTTTAAAAACAATTGAACAATTAAACGTAAAAAAACAACATCTTGAATCTATGCTTTCAAATCATATAGTAAATTGTCAATTACAACAAATCAATTCAACAACAACACCATCACAACAACAACCACCAATGGTTTTTGGTGATATAAACTTTCTTTCATCAATTGTTGAAACATCACCACCACCACTTCGTTCTAATCAATTACAAAATATTCAAAATGATGAAGAAGATATTAATAATTTTCTTCAACCAGCATCTTTATTAACAAATTCAGCTTATAACGATAATCAATCAAATTATTTATTAAATTCTGAACAACAATCTCAACAACAAACAATAACAATGACTTCAAGTAGTCTCGATCGGCTTATGAATGGTCTAAATACGCCAGCACCATATATTGATAATAATAATAATACTTGTTCAGGTTTATTCAATTCAGCATTTGGATCATCAACTTGTGCTCAACAACATTCAAGTTCAAGTGAAGATGAGTCATTACCACCAGCTCATAAAAATCCTTTTGTATGTTAAATGTAAATACGTCGGTGACGCATTTAAAACAGTAATTTTTTGTTGAATGGCATAAATATGCTAGAAAGAACAAACAACGAAAGAAAGAAAAACTATCAAAAGTGTTATTAATAGAACTTAAGCCTACAGCATTAGCAACATTGTACAGATATTCGTAGGCGTATCTATCTCTTGTTAGTTTTTATATAAGTAGTGTATACTTAAGTTGTTTCATAACATTTTCGATAGTTTTTGTTTTCAGTAATTTTTACTTCCGACGTTCGTTTTTTCTTCGCTCTGTTTATTTTATGTACACCATCATAGTTTCTTTTTCTCTCTATGGCTCTTTCTCTTTGTGTGTTCTAGTCTTTTTCTCATAACATCGCAATGATCTATATCTTGTGTATTTTGTATTAATTCTGTATTAATCTTGATATAGCGGTTAGCTGCTGTCTAATTTTACTAATGAACAAAATCAATTGAGTAATTTTGTTTTGTTTTAGTAAGATTGACACAAATTTTATTTATTATTGTGTGTTTCCTGGTTGTTTTTTTTTTTTCATTTTGTGCATTTTCTTAATCTATGTGCTAAAAATACGATAAATATATATATTTCTTTATTTATTTATGCATTGTCATTTAAATATTTTTGTTTTTTCGATATAATTGAAATATTTCCATTAAGCATTGATTTAACCATATGTTTACGAAAAAGACGTGGTAAAACTTGACCAAAACATTGTATTAATGTTGGATTTTCTTGACATGTTCGTTTATAATCATCAAAACTAATAACACCATCATGATCTTTATCAAATTTTTTAAATAATAATGTTATAAATTCATGTAAAATCATATCACCATCTTCTTTTTCATTAATTATAAGTAAATCTTTACGTAAAAATGTAAATAATTCTTCACGTTGCAAATTTCCATCGGCACTAACATCATATATTCGAAAAATAAATTTAATTTGTTCATCATATGATGCATATAATAATAAATTAATAGAATATAAAAATTGTTTTAATGATAAAGTTTTTTCACCTTGTCCAATTAATATAAATAAACGTTCAACTATTGTTTCATCATTAAGATCAAATAATGTTGAAAGAAAATCGCGAAAATATTCACGTGTTAATTGATTGTTATTATTATTATTATTATTAGCACATAATTTATTAAATATTAATGTTAAACGATTTATTTCAATACCTGTTTCATCAAAATTTAATGATGAAAGAAATGTTCGATCGAATTTTTTTTGTTCAGAATTTAAACGAGGTAAAGACATATTAATAGAGATTATGCGCAAAAAAAATTTTTTTTTTTGAATAGTATTTGATAGTTTCTTGATATTAATATTGTTGATCAGAAATTATTATAATTGATTCACTTCTCATATCTTGTTCATATTATTTCGTTCAAATGATTACAATCAATTTTAGTTATTGTTTGATGAATTTGAAGAAAAACTTATATATTTGCTGACATTAGAACCATTCTAACGGATTTCTTGTTTAATTAAAAAAAAATTATAAATTGTAATCTCATTTCTCGACATTTTCCTCTATATGGATACATGATACTTATAGAATATTCATATAAGAACGTAGTATCTATTAACAGAATGGATAAAACTTGGTGACAGATTTATATTTAATTAATTGATGTATGTTGTATTACAGCGATAGAATTAGTTTATGTTTTTCTTTAGAATTGAATCGATCGCTGTGTCTATTTTAGAATTCGTGATATCTAATGAAATAAATTGTGAATATAGAGTCATTTCTAACTACTGAAGTTATATTGATAACATATATTTTAAAAGATTCAGGTTTATATTCAAAAAAACATTTCTCCAATGTATTTTTCCCATGACAAAAGATTAGCAGGTAATTTCCTGGTTATTGTTTTTGATGGGTTACTATGCTATGACGGAAATTTATTTTTTTCCGAAATCTGAATATACTTCTATACAATCAAAGACCGAATATCAATTAAGTCTGGTTATAATAAATGCTCTACTTCCTTGTTGCATTTTTTTCGAGAAGGATGATGAAATATTTCGAGTTTTGATTATTTATAAATAAAACTTAAAACTAGTTATTTCGTAAGATATGTTGATATTAATATCGATAAACAGTTTTCAATATTAATATTTCGATAATATTCTGAATAAAACAGAAGGAAAACATCAATTTGAATATGTTAAAAAGCTGAAACAGTTAGCTACATAATACACTAATGTATTTGAATTCTCTTATCGTAGAACAATCTTGAAAAGTCTAATCTTAAACTTCGTAGAGGATTGACAATAAGCATTATTTTATATGGTGAGTTTATTTTAAACGGATCGACAACACAAAGAAAAGAATGTTGAAAAAAAAATTTTAACTTTATTAATGATTGTGTTTATAATCGTTTAAAGTAGTCGAGCTCCGTAACCAAATGTTGATTTGATACTTTCAAAATAAAAACGTTTCCATCCTTCCTAAAATAAACAAAGAAAAAAAAAAAAAAGCCTCAAATTAATAATAAACTACGAAAAAAAAAAACTCTTCAACTAACCATTGTATTCTCATAGAATTGTACAGGTACACCATTCTGTTGTACAATTAATTTAGTTTGATCTGTTTCATCTTGAAATTGTAATGAAACATGTGAATAATGTTCTTTAGGCCATGATTTAAAACGCCATAACATTTCAATACGATCATATGGTACTATTTCAAGAAAATTTCCCGTTATATTATCACCAAATAATGAAAATTGTCCATCTTGTTGACAATCATATTTTGAAACACTATTTTGTGTAAATGCACGTACCATATTAATATCAGTAAATGTTTGAAATAATTCTGATCGAGAACATTTAAATGTATCTTCAATAACTAATTCTCGTGTTGTATATGATGATTGATTAGTTGATGATGAAGTACTTGATTCAGGTTTTGATGTTGTTGCTGTATTTGTTGTTGATGACGTTGTTTTTGTTGTTTTACTATTATTTGTATTTGAAGAAGTTTTTGTTGGTAAAATAAGACCTTGAGAAAATTCTTCTTTAAGTGAACGAATATATTCACCAAGTTTTTGTCGTATTAATGGTTCACCTTGTCGTATCATTAATTCTTTTAATTTTTCACCTTTTGATTTTTCAACTGAAAATGTTATTGTAAGTTCATGAACTTCATTTTCATCAGATAAATTTGGAACTTCAAATCCACCTTCATATTTCGTACGATTTTCACCTGTACGAATTGATCCTTCCCATTTACCTTCGATATGCCATTCATACTAAATATATATGTTATGTTATTTTATTTAAATTAATTAATTAAATTTGCATAATTAACTTACAAGAAAAACAAGTTTAGCTTTTCGATTATTTGCTGATGCTTCACCTTCACATCGTTTTAATTCTTTTATTTCACAAGTAAATTGTTCATTTTCAATTTTAAGACCTATTAATAATTCATTCAATTTATCTTTTGACCATTGTGTTGCATTCTTTTCTTTCCAGTGCCAATTATTTGGATTTGTAGCTGCAAAACAAACAAAATACGGAATAAATATTTGTTTTTCTAGTTTTCTTTTTGTTATTGCTTTTACCATCAGGACGTTCTTCTACGATCCAACGTGGGTCACCTTTTCCCCATTCAGCCATCTGATGTTAAATCTAATCGTCAGTAAAAATAATCAATGAATATATATATATAGAAGCACTGAAATGGATTTATTTGAAGTTGAATAATTCTACAATCTGCCGGCCAAGCTGAAATAAAACATATTCTTTCAGCTGATTCGTTTCTACAAACCAATAGATGAAAAACACGATTGGCTTTTTGTATGACAAATAACACTGCCATATATTCAATATATTTAGAAAGAAAGAGGACGCTATTTTCCAATGAAAACCTTTATTAGTTTGTCAACATAATGAAATTGAGCCATTAATTTTCTTGAAATAAATATTGGAAGAGAATGAAAAACAACAATTCTCAAAAATCTTATAGAGTACTACAGACAATTTGATGAGGGTAATCTCAATGCATTGTAGAACTTTCTTTTAGCCTCACAAGATGTCCGTTGTTTTTAATCTTCTTTAAACTAAACTGTGCATATATGTATAGATGCCATTTCAGACAAAACGGCGCATATCTCCTTTCATTCGACTCTTAAACTTTACAAGGGTTATTTTTCGAAGAAGTGTTTTTAGCATTGACATGTAAACATGTTGGTTTTTTCAGCTTACTGTTGCTTAAAAAGTAATTATTGAATATTTTTCTAAGCATATAAGAAAAAAATTTAAAAACATTAGTGTAGACTATATGGTACGAACCACATCTATGATGACATTTTCATTAATATTGGGCTCTAAAAAGCTTCCTCTTAAAAAACCGGTTTTCTAGAAATTTTGAGGAAGGATTTGCATCGTTTGGAATTGATTTCGAACTTCTATAATCACACTGTATCAGGTCGATAACGAAAAGTAAATCGATTATTTTAATAACCTAGGCATAATCAAAGAAAAAATTATGATAGAGATTTTTTGAGTCTCAGCAGTTGTCTACAGAATGTACTATTTAGTTTTAAAAAGATTTTAATTACTTTATTTCGGAGTTTGTTTTTAAAACTAAAATCCATGAAGTGAAAGTGTTTTGTACAGATAAATTTTCTGAACAAAGATAATCTTTTTGTGTTATGTGTCATAAGATATGAAGAATAAAATTGTTAGTATATGAGTAAAAATACTTGATTTTTCTACTGATCTAACTCGGACTCCAGTTTCGAAAAAAATTATTTTTGTGACCTCAACTTAAAGTCTGATGCAAAGCTCTACTTCTCAATCATCTAACTCTAAATAAATTCGTATCTGATATTAAAGAAACCTATATAAGAACTGATACAAAGTAAACTTCAAGAAGCCTTTTACTTTTAGGTTTATGATTATTTCTTTTGAATTGAAAGTAAAAAAAGAAACAAACAAAGAAATATGTCAAGTATAACAAATAAAAATAAAATTCAAACAATTTATTTTAATTCGTTAAATATTAATACAAGTGATAATTGAAAAATAAATAACATACTTCATTTGAAATATAAATTATTACATGATTGAGAATTTCATTTCGGATTTTTGTAGAAATGTGATGAATATGAATTGATGTCTGAATTCAGAAATCAATGGCTTTACATACGAAGGAATCGCTTCTAAGTGATACATCGTTTTTGAGCTCATATTTTTGGCATATAGAGACGATTTCTATAGTAAAGAAACTCTAAAGCAATTCGAACTCATAGATCTTCTATACAGGGTTACGATAATTTTGTTAGATTTTCAGTATGACATGGAATAGTGAGAAGAAAATTAAAGGAAGAATTTTTGACGAGAAATTTTATCAATAGGTAAGTCTTGTGATTATAAAAATATCCTAAGACTTTGAATTAAAGTGATTTCTTCCTTCTTGTAATATTTCATGTTCAAAACTTTTTGATTTTTCTAATTGCTTCTGAAATTCAACAAATTTTTGAACATTAAATATCTTAAGAAGGAAGCAAGTTTTTTTTTTTTTTTTTTATTGAAACTTTTCAGATAGTCTTATAATTATGAGACTTACTTATAGACACTATCTCAAGTCAAAAATTCTTTATTCAATCTTTCTGACGATATGGTATCCCATGATAAAAAAACCAAGAAGACAAGAATTTCTGAAAACCTATTTTTACTCCCTAAGCACAGTTCTTATTTGAGCGTTTTCATCTTCATTCAGAAAGCAGCATAACTTGCTAATGTCATCATAAATGATGCGTTGAGACGTCTAAAGAAACGCAATTTTTGCATCTGGAAAGTATGCATGGTATATGTCAAAACTATTGTGAAAAAACTTTTTGGATGTTTTCCAGATACAATAGCTACCTTGTTCAGCGTTTCCATGTATCGTTTATGATGAAAGTAGCTAATTTGTGTTTGATGTGACAACGCTCAGATGATAATTGTGATCAGAATGTTGAAATATGTTTTGAAAAGTTCTTGTTTGCTTAAGGAGAAACAAACAAGTAGTTGTCACGAATATTTCTTTGAAATTTGTCATGAGTAGATGATCAGTTATTGTGCAAAATGACTAATTCTAATTGTGAAAATTGTTTATATTATTCGTTGATTTTAAACTGCTTATTCTGTATAGGATATTGACCGATCATTTTAAGCAATGTCTTAAATGATTAGTAGTAAGAGTGAAGGAAAAAATACGAGAAAGACAATTATTATTAACTTTAATACAATTAAAAAGTAAATTGAACAAAAAGTAGAGGAAAATAATTGATAAGATTTCTAAAGGACTTGACGAAGTAATAATAATAATAATCATGCAGTTGAGAACAAGTTCATACTAGTTAACTGACATTTTTCGTGCAATTAATTTATTATTTCAATCAATCAAATATAATTAGTGTTCTTCTTTTTCTTAATAAAAAAAAATTTTCTTGATCGATTTCGAAAAACTGAACATTTTTTTTCTTCTTTTTTATATTATTATTCTTACAACAGAAGATACCATCTAATATATGGACCTGCTCCTGTTAGGTTTATTTTAGTGTTGAGGTCTTCTCACTATATTTAAAATATGCACTTAAAAATAATCAATAACTTTGGATGATTCCTTCGTTAGCCAATTCATTTATTGAATCTCATGCAGTGTTCTGTACGCAGATACAAGTTTTCATATCCTGCTTTATTATACAGTTGGTATGTTTCTGATTTTAAAGTACTATTAGTGCTACTGAGTATACTTCCACTTGTCACGAATAATACTTAAATTGAAAGCAATATCGGAACTAAACATAATAAATCTAGATATATATGCATCAATTTTTTTTCATCATGATAAGATATTATCATTAGTCAAATAACTAGATTTCTTACGCACTAAGTCACATTATCACACAATTCATCATTATAGATATCAAAATCAATTTCTCGTTCTAATTAAGTTAGCTATTCTAAAGTATATTAATCTATTAGGATATGATCGAACTCTTCTTCATTTGTATATCTATACATAAGTAACACTATGGAACAATAAAAACGTACATCAACCATTGGGATATTCATAGTTGTTAAATATCGCCTGATAGGAGAATATAACCGAATCGGATCCGATATTTTGTTTTAATGCTTGGCATTTGAAATACAGTGACAGGATTCTAATCCTACGATTATTGAAATAGTTGTAGATTTAAAATATTGTAAATATGATCAACGAAATAATATTCATATTGAATCGAAATTTAATTATCGATAGTGCAGTTTCTATACAATTAATTCCCAAAGATTAATGAGGGAATATTGTAAAAGGAGTGCTACACACGGCTCCACATGAGATGGGACAATCCCATCCCATCAGTTCTATGGGATGCAACTTTTCTGAAAAACTTCCCATGGGATGGAGTGGAGAAATTTTGAGGATTGTTATTATTTTTTCATTATTAAATAATAAAGACATTTGTTTGTTTCTTTTATCAATTCATATTTTATTGATTTGTAGAAGCGAAGAAAAAAAAGTTATTTCAATATTAAGGATGAAATATTAGAAAATTAAAAGATAAATAATTAAATATTACTCGAAAATTTTTATAGAGAATAAGTAATCATTTGAAATAGTACAAATAACACACATCATTCTGTTTAATACGTTTGAAAATCTATTTTTTTCTTCAAAGAGATCAACATGTAATCATATGATTGAGGAAGATTTTAGGATTGCTAAGAATTGCATTTAATTTCTTTCTATCATTGTTTTTAACAATTGTTGGTTCATTAGTTGTATTGGAGCATTGTATAAATTGTTATCATTTGTGTTACTTTCACTGGACTTTGTTTTGCAGACATGATTTCCTTTTTTCATCAAGAAAAACTAACCGTTCTCAAGAAGAAACAATGGCTGTTCTCGATAATACTTGTAGAAGTGAACAACATCATAGAACAAAATCTTATTTAAGCATTGTTATCGTATCAAATGATAATCTATAAGATATTTTTTAATATTGATTTTTCACATGATGAACATAGTAGCGTTCGTGACGGATCGAATCCGTCTACTTGAGGCAGATAGAGGTTCTGAGCTTCGAATTTATTACAGGACGGGCACATCACGTCCTTCTTTTTGATTTTGGAAACTTTTTTAATACAAATCTTCGCTTTTTCAACAGGAAAACTAGATCTTTGCCGCCGCCAGATGAATGTTTTTTTTTTCATTTTAACTGAACAATATTTTGATAAATAATAAATTGTAACTACATTGTTTCTCGTTTTATTTTGTTTAAGCGGTTCGTTGAGTTCATATTCACAACTTCTAATCAGTTATTATTATTCTATGACATGAATTGTTGTCTAAACCTTATTGTTTCCCGGGTACATATTTGTATTGTTGTAATATGATAGTACTTCACAGGTTTCTGTAAATAATCCATCAAATTCATTCAAAATATTCTAATTCAGAAACAGAGTTTCTTTGCTATTCTCGATAGATATATAACGTATTACATTAATACATGTTTTGTATAGTCATGTTATTCCAGTATACATGGCTTGCTTGCCTTTTCATTAAAAAAAATTTATGCTTCCATTGAATTGTCATCATCATTATATTAGTACCTACAAAAGAA